CGGACAAATGAGAATAGAACATTTAGATACATAGTAATTTATAATAATAATAATAATAATAATAATAATAATAATAATAACATAAAATAGCAGGTTTGGTAGCTGGCGAGGCCTAGTCTTCAGTGTACTTTTGTGTGCGGCGGGCGGAAAGACCTAGTTTCCGCTCCGCGCTGCGGATAGACTGTTGATCAAGGTCGGTAAGGCCGGGTTTCCGATCCATGTTCCCGAAGACATTACTTTGTATGTGCGGCAGGCGGAAAACTCTGGTTTCCGCTCCGCGCTAAGAACAAGCTGTTGATCATGGTCGGAAAGGCCGAGTTTCGGATCCATGCTCGTATTGTCTTACGCGGTCGCGAAAATATACGAAGCCGATTACAGTTGTACTAAGCAGTCATAGATATTGTGTAATTTATCGTTCCCGGTTAAAGATATTAATTTATTTTGTTACAAAAAAGCGATTCACGTTTACGTTTACCTCATAAACTGAACAGAAATACAGTTCACCAGCTAAAAAATAAAAATAAATAAAAAGTACGCTGAAAACATATTGAGAACCATTTTGCTTCTGCGTTGAAAGGGTTAAAAAGCGTCTCATATATGACAGACTCTGCATTAAAGGGTTAAATGCTGCACTTTCGTACAGATATCGACCAGTATAACCATTTTTGTTATATAAAATTTTTTGTGAAAGCTGATAGTTTACGAGTTATTAGAGTTTAAATTAGCAGCAGCTCAAGAGTGTGACGCAGAACTTCAAAAACTCACCACTAGGCCGAGCACTGCGCTTCACCTTCAGAAACTTACGTTTCCAGAGCACAAAGTTAGCATGTACTGCGACATTTCGTCGGGTATAGTGCGTCCATTTGTCCCCGATTCGCCAAGGAAAGCTGCATTCGACTCACTACACTCACTTTCTTATCCAGGCATCAAAAATGAGTGGCAAGCAGATACGTGTGGACGTGGCCGCGAACTTGCATCGTGTGTCAACGAAATAAAATGCAGCGCCATGTCGTTACATCTCCTTCGAGGTTTCAGTTGCCCTCACAGCGCTTCGAGCATATCCACATGGATCTAATTTCTCTACCTCCTGCGAAAGGATTCCGTCAGTGCCTTACAATAATAGATCGTTTTACACGCTTTCCTGAGGCAATCCCACTTGAAAACGGAAATACTGAAACCATTGCGCGCGCTATATTCTACCATTGGATCGCGAGATATGGGGTGCCACTTTGAATAACGTCAGATCGCGGTGGGCAATTTGAATCTGCTTTGTTCCGGCAACTTGCGCAGCTGTTTGGAATTCACCACATTAGGACCACACCCTACCATCCTCAAGCCAATGGACTCATCGAACGTTTGCACAGGCAATTAAAATCAGCGCTGCTTTGCCACAAAGACACTTAGTATGACGCGCTTCCAATAGTTCTAATGGGCCTACGAGCTTCGTGGAAAAATGATATTTCTACACCACCCGCCGAATTGGTGTACGGCGAACCGATTCGAATTCCTGGTGAATTTTTAAATACTGCGAACAATCAGTCACCGCATGGTTTGCTCCGCCATTTACAACAACATTTTCGTAATTTAACACCGACCGAAATGTCCCGTCATGGCAAGAGGTAAATTTTTCGTTTCAGAGAATTGAATAACTGCTCCCATGTTTTGGTACGTGAAGGGCAAATATGACCATCATTAAGTGCTCCATATCAAGGACCATACCGCGTCATATCACGTCATGAGAAACATTTTTACATTGAAGTTAAAGGGCAGCGCACTCCAGTTTCAGTGGACCGACTAAAGCCTGTCTTTGAAGTATCAACTGACGAACAGAACACAACACCCAGAACCGGACAAACAACGAGGCATGTGCACTTTGCAGATGATTCATAACCATTAATACGATTTAAACAAATTGTTTGTAACATAAGCTGTTAATTAGTTTAAGAAAAAAACATGAATTGTAAAGTTAAAAAAAAACAGGGGGAGCTATGTGGCAACCCGGTCACTTATGACATTGTACGTGACCGCTCTCCCTCTCAATGGAAGTAATGTAATTTCGCTGGAAAACTTACAACGTCTTTAATAAACTCAGCTCTGACTCTCTCATTCGCTACATATCTTCTATATATATATATAAAATAATAGCCGTTTTCGTTGTTCGGAGTTAACTCCAAAACTAATGCATCGATTTTAGTCTAATTTTCAGAGGTTATACCTTGCATATATGGTCCTATTATAGGCTACCAGAAAACTCGGTAGGTGGCGCTGGGGTCGAGTTATTTATAAAAATCGTATTTACGAACCGATTTCTTTTAAGTTCGAAATGTAAGCTACCAGCGTGATGGCAAACACCTTTACCAAAAATAGACCCGCTAGGTGGCGCAGGAGTCGAGTTATTTATAAAAGTCTTATTATCGAACCGATTTCCTTCAAATTCAAAAGGTATAGTTTCAGCATAATGGAAAATACGTTTACCAAAAACGGAGCCGCTAGGTGGCGCGGGAGGCGCTTTATTTATAAAAGTTGTATTTATGAACCGATTTCGTAAGCATGATGAAAAAAGCCCTTGCGAAAAACGGACCCGCTAGGTGGTGCTGGAGTTGAGTTATTTATAAAAGCCGTATTTATGAACCTATTTTGTTAATACACATACGAAACGTTTATTACTTTCATAATGATTTTTTTTTCATTCGAAACATATTCAGCCTTATCATGAGTTTCATCTTCCCTGAACCGGTTCACTTTTTGCTTTTGGTTTCCATGTCTTACTATGGGGGGAATCAAAATTTTCGCGTTAATTTTTTTTCGGGCGAAACTCAGGACAAAGAATATTACATACATATAATGATAGCCATTTCCGTTTTCCGGACTAAACTCAAAAACCACTCAAGAGAGCCCAGTCAAATTGTCGGAGGTCCTATTATAGGCTACTAGAAAACACGCTGGTGGCGCTGGGGCAGAGTTACTTATAAAAGTCGTATTTATTAACAGATTTCGTTCAAATTCGCAGCATGACTACCTGTATTATGAAAAATTCCTTTGCTAAAAATGGACCCGCGGGAGTTTAGGTATTTAGAAAATCCGGATTTTTTATAAAATCTGATTGGAATTCATAATTCGTATTCATTTCATGACAAGCAAAGGTTTTGCAGAAAAGGGACCCAATGGATGACGCTGCATCCGAAACATATAGAAACCCCACGGGGTTTGTTTATCTTAGACGAATTTACTTTTCAGATGGCTAAATCAAGAATGCGATTAAGTATGCATATAAAGACCGTAACACTGTGTACCTCCGATTGACGAAGTTGTTCGAGGCGGTCGTTATTACAGTAAGACTCAAAGAAACCAATTCACAAATATTAAGACGAATTGTAAAAGTGGCGAATTGACAAGGAAAGATTCGACCATATCTCATCATATCATTTGAACGATATTCATGAGATCACACGACTCATTTAGGCAATTTACGCGAAAACTTTTCATCCTGTGGGGCAGCGAGGATTCTTGAGTTTCCGTATAAGGATTTTTATTGGCTTACATGGTACACCGGACCAATGCTGAAGTTGCAGGGTCATAGAAGAATATTGCGCACGCTTGGCAGAGATCTCACAGGTGGAAATAAGACCATAGGTAAAACGCATTACATCGAAAGGGATTAGTATTCCATATGGAATCACAGCGCTACTATTCTTGGCATATTCACACGGAGGATTCCGTTTTTTAGTCGTTTCAATTTAAACTACAAATGTTTACTTTATAGACTGCTTTTGCTTTTAAACGCTATTTTTGCATTGGCCAGCGCAAAAGATCTTATTAGGCGCCGCGAAGCAAGCGGGCATTTGCTAGTATGACATATGTATATAACATATAACATATATATAAAAGGTATATATAACATATGTAAGTAAAATTAAAGAGAATTAAATTCTCTATTGGATTAATAGAATATAGAAAGGCATTAGATGGGATGAGAAGGCATTGGAAGGGAAAGGAACGCATTGGAAGAGATAGAACGGCATTGGAAGGGATAGGAAGGCTTTGGAAGGGATGAGAAGGCATTGGAAAGGACTGGAACATACTGAAATGGATAAGAAGGAATTGGAAAGGATAGGAAGACAGTGCAAGGTATAGAAAGACATTGGAAGGGATAGGAAGGCTTTGGAAGGGATGAGAAGGCATTGGAAAGGACTGGAACATACTGAAATGGATAAGAAGGAATTGGAAAGGATAGGAAGACAGTGCAAGGTATAGAAAGACATTGGAAGGGATAGGAAGGCTTTGGAAGGGATAGGAGGCATTTGATGGGATGAGAAGGTATTGGAGGGGTAGGTACACATGGGAGGGGATAAGGAGGCATTGGTTTATCAACTCTTTCAGTTCATCACATAATGGTAGGAGAAGTTCAAATGTGTGTTTAGTTCAATTCTGAACCAATTCAATGCTTTATACTGGTTTACTTCATTGTAACGCAGGCTTATGTGGAAAGTGAGAGCGTAGTTCCGAATTCGATTACACATATAATTGTGTATTTTTTATTTCTTAATTTTTGAAAAATTTCCTTTTATTTTTTTCCAAATTCATGTTTGGCCGTAACTGCAAAAATAAAAATTTGGACACGGATTCATTAAAATTTTTTTTAAAAATGGCTGGGAATCTCTATGACCCATGTCATATGAAAGCTGTTGAAGGGGAATCTTTTTAGTAAAAATGAAAAATTTGTTTTATTACTAAAATAACTTTAATTTATTATAATTATTATTATTTCTCTGTGGGGTTTAAGGGTATATAACATTTCTTGTGTATATGAATATTCAAGGTGGCGTTGTAAGTTGGCGGTCAAGTCGGCCTCTTTTCTGGCAACACTGAAAGGAGAACTCTACTTAGTGAGGGTTATAATCCAAAAGTGCGGCCGCAGGCCGCCTACGCAGAATGGTGTTCTCTGTAAAACTGTGTTCAGTGCCTTTTCTTCGCAACATAGAAAGAGAATTCTACTTTATGAGGGTTATAATCCCTAAGTGCGGCCGCAGGCCACCTTCGCAGAAAGGTGTTCTCTGCAAAGATGTTCAGTGCCTTTTCTTCGCAACGCAGAAAGAGAATTCTACTTTGTGAGGGTTACAATCCCTAATTGCGGCCGAAGGCCGCCTACGCAGAAAGATGTTCAGCCCCTTTTCGTCGCAACACAGAAAGAGAATTCTACTTTATGAGGGTTATAATCCCTAAGTGCGGCCGCAGGCCACCTTCGAAGAAAGGTGTTCTCTGCAAAGATGTTCAGTGCCTTTTCTTCGCAACGGAGAAAGAGAATTCTACTTTGTGCGGGTCTTAACTCGTAAGTGCGTCCGGAGGCCGCCTATCCAGAAAGGCGTTCTCTGCAAACGGTGTTCAGCGCCTTTTCTTCGCGACACAGAAAGAGAATTCTACTTTGTGAGGGTTATAATCCCTAAGTGCGGCCGAAGGCCGCCTACCCAGGAGGGTGTTCTCTGCAAAAGGTGTTCAGCGCTTTTCTTTGCAACACAAAGAGAATTCTACTTTGTGAGGGTTATAACCGGTAAGTGTGGCCTGGTGCGGAAGTTGAGTTATTTATAAAATCCGTATTTATTAACCTATTTTGTTAATACACATACGAAACGTTTATTACTTTCATAATGATTTTTTTTCATTCGAAACATATTCAGCCTTATCATGAGTTTCATCTTCCCTGAACCGGTTCACTTTTCGCTTTTGGTTTCCATGTCTTACTATGGGGGGAATCAACATTTTCGCGTGAATTTTTTTTCGGGCGAAACTCAGGATAAGGGATATTACATACATATAATGATAGCCATTTCCGTTTTCCGGACTAAACTCAAAAACCACTCAATAGAGCCCANAAAACTCAAAAACCACTCGATAGAGCCCAGTCAAATTGTCGGAGGTCCTATTATAGGCTACTAGAAAACTCGCTGGTGGCGCTGGGGAAGAGTTACTTATAAAAGTCGTATTTATTAACAGATTTCGTTCAAATTCGCAGCGTGACTACCTGTATTATGAAAAATTCCTTTGCTAAAAATGTACCCGCTGGAGTTAAGGTATTTAGAAAATCCGTATTTTTTATAAAATCTGATTGGAATTCATAATTCGTATTCATTTCATGACAAGCAAAGGTTATAGAAACCCCACGGGGTTTCTTTATCTTAGACGAATTTACTTTTCAGATGGCTAAATCAAGGATGCGATTAAGTATGCATATAAAGACCGTAACACTGTGTACCTCCGATTGACGAAGTTGCTCGAGGCGGTCGTTATTACAGCAGTAAGACTCAAAGAAACCAATTCATAAATATTAAGACGAATTGTAAAAGTGGCGAATTGACAAGGAAAGATTCGACCATATCTGTCCAAGAAGGAACACGGTAGGTATATCAATGGCTTCATTTGAACGATATTCATGAGATCACACGACTCATTTAGCCAATTTACGCGAAAACTTTTCATCCTGTGGGGCAGCGAGGATTCTTGAGTTTCCGTATAAGGATTTTTATTGGCTTACATGGTACACCGGACCAATGCTGAAGTTGCAGGGTCATAGAAGAATATTGCGCACGCTTGGCAGAGATCTCACAGGTGGAAATAAGACCATAGGTAAAACGCATTACATCGAAAGGGATTAGTATTCCATATGGAATCACAGCGCTACTATTCTTGGCATATTCACTCGGAGGATTCCGTTTTTTAGTCGTTTCAATTTAAACTACAAATGTTTACTTTGTAGGCTGCGTTTGCTTTTAAACGCTATTTTTGAATTGGCCAGCGCAAAAGATCTTATTAGGCGCCGCGAAGCAAGCGGGCATTTGCTAGTATGACATATGTNTCGCTGGTGGCGCTGGGGAAGAGTTACTTATAAAAGTCGTATTTATTAACAGATTTCGTTCAAATTCGCAGCGTGACTACCTGTATTATGAAAAATTCCTTTGCTAAAAATGTACCCGCTGGAGTTAAGGTATTTAGAAAATCCGTATTTTTTATAAAATCTGATTGGAATTCATAATTCGTATTCATTTCATGACAAGCAAAGGTTATAGAAACCCCACGGGGTTTGTTTACCTTAGACGAATTTACTTTTCAGATGGCTAAATCAAGGATGCGATTAAGTATGCATATAAAGACCGTAACACTGTGTACCTCCGATTGACGAAGTTGCTCGAGGCGGTCGTTATTACAGCAGTAAGACTCAAAGAAACCAATTCATAAATATTAAGACGAATTGTAAAAGTGGCGAATTGACAAGGAAAGATTCGACCATATCTGTCCAAGAAGGAACACGGTAGGTATATCAATGGCTTCATTTGAACGATATTCATGAGATCACACGACTCATTTAGCCAATTTACGCGAAAACTTTTCATCCTGTGGGGCAGCGAGGATTCTTGAGTTTCCGTATAAGGATTTTTATTGGCTTACATGGTACACCGGACCAATGCTGAAGTTGCAGGGTCATAGAAGAATATTGCGCACGCTTGGCAGAGATCTCACAGGTGGAAATAAGACCATAGGTAAAACGCATTACATCGAAAGGGATTAGTATTCCATATGGAATCACAGCGCTACTATTCTTGGCATATTCACACGGAGGATTCCGTTTTTTAGTCGTTTCAATTTAAACTACAAATGTTTACTTTATAGACTGCTTTTGCTTTTAAACGCTATTTTTGAATTGGCCAACGCAAAAGATCTTATTAGGCGCCGCGAAGCAAGCGGGCATTTGCTAGTATGACATATGTATATAACATATAACATATATATAAAGGTATATATAACATATGTAAGTAAAATTAAAGAGAATTAAATTCTCTATTGGATTAATAGAATATAGAAAGGCATTAGATGGGATGAGAAGGCATTGGAAGGGAAAGGAACGCATTGGAAGAGATAGAACGGCATTGGAAGGGATAGGAAGGCTTTGGAAGGGATGAGAAGGCATTGGAAAGGACAGGAACACATTGAAATGGATAAGAAGGAATTGGAAGGGATAGGAAGACAGTGCAAGGTATAGAAAGACATTGGAAGGGATAGGAAGGCAGGTTTATTTAACATAACAAGTATATAAAAAAAGGTAAAAAGGTATAAAAGGCATATAAATATAACATATATATAAAAGGTATATGTAACATATGTAAATTAAATTAAAGAGAATTAAATTCTCTATTGAATGCCATCAAAAAGTATAGAAAGGCGTTGGAAGGGAAAGGAACGCATTGGAAGAGATAGAACGGCATTGGAAGGGATAGGAAGGCTTTGGAAGGGATGAGAAGGCATTGGAAACGACAGGAACACATTGAAATGGATAAGAAGGAATTGGAAAGTCTAGGAAGACAGTGCAAGGTATAGAAAGACATTGGAAGGGATAGGAAGGCTTTGGAAGGGATGAGAAGGCATTGGAAACGACAGGAACACATTGAAATGGATAAGAAGGAATTGGAAAGTCTAGGAAGACAGTGCAAGGTATAGAAAGACATTGGAAGGGATAGGAAGGCTTTGGAAGGGATGAGAAGGCATTGGAAACGACAGGAACACATTGAAATGGATAAGAAGGAATTGGAAAGTCTAGGAAGACAGTGCAAGGTATAGAAAGACATTGGAAGGGATAGGAAGGCTTTGGAAGGGATGAGAAGGCATAGGAAGGGATAGGAACGCATTTTAAAGGAGACGAAAGCATTAGAAGGCATCGGACAGGAAAGGAACACATTGGAGTGGACAAGAAGGACTTGGAAGCCATTGGAAGGGACTGGAAGGCACTAGA